TGATTACCCCTTTCTTCTGCCCACCCCCAGGGCGTTTTCTCCATCCTCCGGGCCTTCCATCCCAGCTGGCTTCCAAGAGCTGCCTCAAAAGAGGCTTTCCGGGCCTCTGGTCAAGCCTTTCAGGGCCTGGGCTTCTTAGGGGCCTCTCAGGGGCCTTGCAAGGTAGGGCCCTCCCGGCGCTAAGAACATTTTTGAAGAACAAGAGCCTGCGAGGCTAAGGCCACGAAAGTCCGGTTGTAGAAAGAAGTTGTGTGGCACCAAGATGGACCTAACTGAGTTTTTGTCCCCTAAACCCTAATATCAATAGGTTTGGGTGGTTTGGCCGCCTGGGACAGCGTGCGGTGGGTAAATGTCTTAGATGGCCAGCCGCGGTCACGCCACAGCAGTATGTCGCACAGCACGACATGCTCGAAGCGATTCTCTGGCATGACTACTTCAGCGCTATATCACTGCAAACCCTAAACCATACTCTCTGACCCTAAACCCAAATCCTGCCTGACCTTTGGGTAAAGGGCTTCTTCTGCATTATACAGGCGAGGTTTTAAGTTGGCCCTGCTCCGTGGTTTCTTGTCCAAGGGCTTAGGGATTAGGGCCTAGAATTTAGGGTTTAGGGTTTAAGATTTAGGGTCTAAGTTTAAGGGTTTAGGGATTAGGGTCGAGAATTTCGGGTTTTGGTTTAAGTTTAATGGTTTAGGGATTGGGTTAAGGATTTAGGGTTTCAGGTTTAGGGCTCTGCCATCATGGTGTTTTGGTGTTTTGGGTCAGTGGTCTCGTGGTGCGCTTGGCGGTGAGTCTCGTGTTCCCTCAGAAGACAGCAAGTGCGCAGGAATCTGCTACAATTGCTGTTTCCTGTGATGTTTACAGCAATATTGACAGTATTGATTCTCAAAACCTATGTTTTCTGTGATCACATCCCATAGTCTGTCTACAAATAAGTGAATCTAATTGCTCCCTTGCCTGTTCAGATTGAAATGGTTTTGGAATTTCGCGGCAGGTTTCTTGTAAGGTCTGGCAGCTGCTGCTCAAGATTGTTGGATCCCAACTCCAAACCCTCCACCCCAAACCCCAAGTTTAGATTGTGTCAAGCTGAACATCTCCGTGTGGAAGCCGGGGCTCCTTCGATAGATACCACTGTGCCTTGTGGCTACTATTCTTGGAACGGGGCCTAGCCTAACCTGTACAGTGAACCCTGAACCCCAGGTAGTTCTCGTCCCAAAAGCGACACACCTGAAGACTCCTCACATCAGGACCCAATTCCCAAAATCAACTTGCCCAACACCTGTACCACAAATACTAACACCTAAAACCCTAAGCCCTAACTACCTACAACCCATTTTCATCCCGAGCCCCCAGGGTCAGACAGTCCCGTCCCTTCTTCCGACGCAGGAAGACGACCGTCAGCGCGAAGTTCGTCAGAGCAAAGACTGAGCAACTAGGGATCTGAGCTTCCGGTGTATAGGGCTTAGGGCTAAGGAGATTAGCGTTTCGCATTGAAGTTTGGGGTCTAGGATCCGGGGAGTAGCTTTTTGCATCATACGCCTAGGCTGACTGAAGGTTGTAGGCCATTGAGAGGGTCCGGCCGATTTGACCTATAGCATTCCAATCCATAAACCCTAGACTTTAAAACCCTAAACACTAAGCTCCTGAGGTTGCCCAGGTACCTGCCCTACATTGTAGTTTCCCATAGTTAAGGGAACCTTCTTCAAGGTCCCATAATCAACATTGTAGCATTTCAGGGTCTATCTGGGTGACCCTTAATTGGGGAAACTTCCACATCACGCTAATTGCCCTTCAAGAAATCAACCTTTTTCCTGAGCGCTTGTTTGCAGGCTCGGGGTGAATATAACCCAGCTACGACTGCAGTTTTTAGTGCAGATGTGAGCCCTAAAACCTAAACCCTAAAGAGCGTGGTGAGCATCGTAATAATTGGGTTGCAACTACAGGGAGAGCTGCAGTTATAGTCCCCCTTAAGTAGATAGAACATGGCTTTGGGTAAAGAATAAGATTCCCATATACCCCATATTCTATCTACTTGAGGAGGACTATATAGTTATACTGTGTCATTCTACTTACCCTGGGCTTCCACGTAAGGCAGATCAGCCATGGTGATTCGACCACGTGGTCTGGACTCCTTCTCCGCTCTGCGACTTCTGTGATCAACAGCAACTGGACTTCCTAGACCCTAGCCCTAAGCTGATTTGCAAGAAGGACTAAACGTACTCAAACGGGTCTTCCTGAACATGAATGTGCCGCAGAAACCGCAAAAGAAGGTAGTGTCGATTGTAAGGATGGAGCGGGGGCCGTTGACGGAGCAAACGTGCGCCTAGAAGCAGACTCCATCAGAGGGGCCTAGTTATGATTAGAAGGAACCTGCTATGTTAGAAGTCACCTGCGGATCAGGAGGATATTGTGTTCCTGAATGTTCATTGTTTGTTGGCTTGGAGCGGCTTAGATAGTCTGGAGGCTTAGCTGCACTTACACGAAGATGAGAAGATGTACAGGCAATTGCGGTTAGTACAGGCGCTGAAGGTTTTTAGGACAAGGCATTGCATCTCATTCGCTGCTTAATCGTGTTGTTTTCTTTCCGGCCAGGTTATGGGAATCCATCAAAATCGGTACCGTGTTTCCTTCTAGCGCTCTCTTAGTATTGAACTTTGAAAGCAACTTTCCCTAGAAGCTGTGAGGGACGAGCTAGACGTCCATCAAGCATTCTGAGAAGAAAGACGGGTGTACCTGTAACCCCATTTACCTACAGTGTCATGGGGTATTGAAACCCTAATTTATGAACCCCAAATATTCAGTGTAGGCTTGGGGGTTTTAGGCATAACTTAGGTTTCGCTGGGGTAGGTTGTAAACTTATTCTTAAATTTTGGTATAAAGCCGTTATACAGATATATTACAGGCGGTTTCTTGCTGA